TTTTTTTTTTTTTTTTTTTTTTTTTTTGTCTTTTTGTCTTTTTTCGTGTCCAGCAACGGATCGCAACCCTCAGTGTCGCGCCCGTACCGGACCGGGACCAGCAACGGGATCGCAACCCTCGGTGTTGCGCCCGCCCCTCGCTCAGCCAGCGAGTGGGAACCGGTCTGTATGTGGGATCCGAACCCTCGGTGGGAGCGACGCCCCACTCCCAAGCGGCGCACTGTAGCAGTGCGCCACCGGGCCGCCCCCTCACATCTCATTTCTATGCTGCTGCTGAGAAGATGAAGCAAGGAGAGATCAACAGGTGGCCGGTGTTTTATGGTCTGGATTTTATGTTGTCTGGCGGGGATGCAGGCCGAGACCCCTCATCCCCACTGGACCCCCACACTCAGCAAGGGGCTGGCCCATAGTGTTGGGCTGGTGACTAGTTCCCCCTTTTCTGGGTTTTTCTGGCTCAATGTTGTCTTGGATGAGCAACATGGTCCCTGGGCTGCCAGTGACAAGGGTGCCACCTCCTGGGTAAGGTGCTGCTGGGTCCTCTCCTCTCCTGCTCTAGGCTTCTGCCCAGGAAGCTCTATCCAGAGCAAGGCAGGAGCGTGGCCACTCCCAGTCTTTCTTGAGCACTCTCGCTTCTTCTCACAGTCTCTGAGCATCTGGGGGCAACTGGCTTCAGGGCACGTGCTTGTGCTACGCATGCATGGCTACTAATCCAGCCCTTCCTTCCTGCTGCCATTGACGAATGACTTTGCTGAGAGGGGAAGAGAGCAGTAGGATTTTGCTGCAATAATGTGTGTGCACACTGTGTGTGTACACATGGCGTGTGTGCATGTGTGTGAGCACTGTGTGCATTCACATACATAGTGTGTTTGCATATGCAAGTGCGTGTGCATGCATGTGGTGTGTGCACATGTTTGTGTGTGCTCTCATGGTGCATGTGTATGGGTATACATAACATGCGTGCATACACTCAGTGTGCGCACGCATTTGTGTGTACCCGTGTGTGTGTGCGCACACATGGTCTGTGCACTGTGTGTGTGTGGTATGCATGCCTGCAGAGCATCCTTCTGTGGCTTTCTCTGGAGGGCTGTGAGACAGCCACCACCAGGGCTGAGCAGACTCTTCCACTCCTGCTAGCCCCACCCCTTGCCTTCCCTTCTCTCACCTGCCTCCACTTCCCGGTCATAGACTGTACTCAAGGAATTTGCAGCAACGTGGGTTCCAAATTTGGTTGTAAGTGGTGGGGAATCCACCCACCTCATTCCTTAGCGCTCATCCTTCCAGGAAGCAGCAGCACATGGGCTCTCACCAGACACCATGGGACCAGGAGAACCACAGCAGAGGCAACCTGCAGTGGAGACAAGATGCCCTTGCCCCACCAGTTCCCCCGTGGAAGGAGCATTGCAGGTGAAAGGGTTTTCCCCACTGTGTGTCTCCTTGGTGGGTCCCAGCCTCCAGCTCCGGATCACGCACTATAGGTGACCCCTGACTCTGGACTTTCACACACACCTCAAAGTGTGCATACCTCAGCGGAGATCCTCATCCTTCCCAGGGAACTCCTGAGTATCTGTCAGGCTGGTTTTACAAATGAAGAAACAGGGGCATGAAAGTATTCTTTGGCTTGTTTTCCTTCCTGAGCAGTGTGGGTGCTTGGCAGGCAAGGATTTCATGAATTCTATTTCTCCAATCCTAACTTTTCTGGTTAGGAGAGTCACACCCCTGCGGGAAAACACCTTTGGCCAGCTCTTCCTGCCATCAGAGATAGATCAACACAGCCACCTTGAGGAAGAGAAACACCAAGTATTGTTGCAGGAAACTGGAAGTGGCCCTACCTGCACAACCACAGTGTCGTCAACAACATAAAACCTAACCCTAGCAAAGCTCCAGCCTCAGGTGCAGGCATGAGGCTGCTCACAGACCTGGTGGCTTGGTGTCTGCAGCTCAACCAAGTGTGTCTGGGCACAGCACTCTTCTAGACTGGTAGCTGGCCCCTGCTTCCCATGCTGGTGATTTTTATGATTCTTATAACTTCACTTGCTTAGAGAAATTTGCCTAGTGACTTCCAAGAGCAAGACTTGTGTCTACACTTTGGAATTTGGCAAGCATTAGGATGGCATGAGTTAGCCTGATTTTATTGCTAATTAAAATGATCAGGGCTCCATCCTGTCAGTGGCTTGGGGTAACTGAGAAAGTCTTCTCAGGTGACTTATGCCCAGGTGGAAATGGTATTCCCAAAGTAATCTACCAGATGCACTGGCTCACTTTTGAGATTAAAACACACATGCCTTCTCTTGGTGTGTTCCAGGTCACTGTCAGGGGCACCGCCAGGGTGGGAGGTGGAGGTGCACAGCTCCATGGAATAGGGTTCCTAACAAGCTTGGCTTTGCAGGGTTCTTTCTAGCTCTGTTCGGCCAGACCTGTCCTGAAGCTCTGGCTTGAGAATGAATTTTTGCCTTTGCATCCTGTTTACAAGCTGGTCCATTCTGTGCAGTTCACACTTTCACATATGGCCAGCAGATTGCCAAGTGTCAGAGTCTGGCCCTAAGATAAATCATCATGGGGACTTCATGGATTCTGAATTTGAATTCCTGTCCCATATCCGGCCCATGAATCCAAGGCCCCATTGTGTGTCCTGAGTCACAAAGAGGAGTGTGTGTTGTGCTGAATGAGACTGGAGCAGTCAATGCTTACACCTGCCAGGACCCTTGCATGGCCCATGAGTAGGCAATTGTCCAAAAGGGGTGTCACTTTCAGGCTGGGTGGCCATCTGCTGAGGGCTAAATCCCTTCAGTAGTTTCAAGGCCACTGGGGGAAGGATGGGCAGTGGAGGGCCTCCCGCCTCTCCTGGGCTTTGAAGCACCCCAGCTTCCCTGGGGCACTTGCTTTTATGGATTCTCATGCTATAAATGCCTTTCAATGACATCCATGTCACAGTCAATATCTAGGAGACTTACCCCCGTACCAAATATTTCCTGGCACCTTGGGTAACATCAGGAAAAAATTTATCTTCACATTCTTCTATTCCTGGCCATTTTCCACGTGAAGATTGCCATGAATAAGGGCAGCGTGCCTGATAGATGTGTGAGGAACCGTAAGGGATCCAGGAGATGAGCAGGTGGGGGATGCAGGATGGGGGTGGGGGAGAACACTTGGTTTGGGTTACTCTTTTTCAGGTTTACCTATTTCTCCTGATGCCTTACTTTTGGGAAGGCAGAAGGTGAGAAGGAGGAATTATCTCGAGTGGAGATCCAGGAAGACCTTTCTTCCCATGCATTGCAGGGCCTCATCACCCCACATCCAGGTCTCTGGTTCCATGGGCAATATGATGTTTCAGAGATGGAGTGCTGGAGTCAGGTGGTCCTGGGTGCTTTTCCTGTTTTTGCCATTTATTAGCTGTGTGTCCTTGGGCAAATTCCTTAACCTGTAAATGCCTTGGTCTCGTCAGTGAGATGGAATCATATTAACGGTCCTAGCTCCTATGATTCACTGTGAGTAAAGGCTATGTCAGTTATCTGTCTCCCTGTAACAAACTGTCCTAAGGATTAGTGGCTTAAAGCAGCAACTGTTAGTTAGCTCACAACTCTGTGGGTTGGTGGCAGTCCCTCCAGTCTGGGCAGGCCCAGCTGACCTCACCTGACGTCTACGTCACAGGTGGGTCAGCTGGCAGCTGGATGGTCTATGACGGCCTCAGTCCTAGGTTCTGGCAGTGACCAGGCTGCTGGCAAGGGCTGGGACTGTTGGCGGTGCTGTCGTCTCCTGGGGAGGCCGCTCACCGTCTAGCAGACTAACCCAGGTGTTCCTTGGGGTCTCGGGGTTCTGGGGTTCCAATCTCTAAAGCACAAGCCCTTTTCAAGCTCCTGGTCATGTCACATTGTTGTGAGGCTGTCGCATGGAAAACGAACCAGAATGCCCAATTGAGAATTTAAAAAGGGGGTCTTTATCAGCTGGCCAGCGACTGCTTCCCCAGATATTCTGGCAAGAAAAGCAGCCTCGAGTCTAAGTTTAAGGGGCCTTTTGAAGGCAAAAAAAAAATCATATAGTCACACAGTCAAAGTTATCATATAATCACACAAATTTCCTCCTGTTGTGCGGAGGGAGGGGGGTTTGGCAAGGCCTAGCGCAAGCTGGTTACAGAAGCCAAGATAAGCCAATTAATCACTCAGGGACAGCAAGAACTTCCCCAGGGCAGTTTTCTCCTTAGGTTGTCTGGATACGTCTGGGTACAGCTCTTGGTTTTATCAGCCAGGAACAGCATAGGCGGGAAACAGCAAAGGCAGGCAGAATTTAAAATTTTTCTAAGTACAGAATAATTTTTAACTTTTTTTTTTTTCCCTTTTTGTCTTTTTTCGTGACGGGTAACGGGATCACAACCCTCGGTGTCGCGCCCGTACCGCGACCGGCAATGGGATTGCAACCCTCGGTGTCGCG